TGTGTGTGTGTGTGTGTGTGTGTGTGTGTGTGTGTGTGTGTGTTTGTGTGTGTGTGTGTGTGCGTGCGTGCGTGCGTGCGTGCGTGCGTGCGTGCGTGGGTGCGTGGGTGTGTGTGTGTGTGTGTGTGTGTGTGTGTGTTTGTGTGTTTGTGTGTTTGTGTGTGTGTGCGTGTGTGCGTGTGTGCGTGTGTGCGTGTGTGCGTGCGTGCGTGCGTGCGTGCGTGCGTGCTTGCTTGCGTGCGTGCGTGCGTGCGTGCGTGCGTGCGTGCGTGCGTGCGTGCGTGGGTGTGTGTGTGTGTGTGTGTGTGTGTGTGTGTGTGTTTGCGCATCTGTGCCTGTGAGTGCACATGTGTGCGTGCGCATGTGTGAGCATGAGTGTTTGTTTGTGGGTGTGTGTGCGTGTTTGCGTGTGTGTGTGCGCGTGTATGCGTGTGTGTCTGTCTGTCGGTCTCTGCCTCTCCCTGTCTCTCTGTGTCTCTGCCTCTCTCTCTCTCTCCCTCTTTTGTCTGTCCGTGTGTATGTGACTATGTGTGTACCTGTGCATGGCGTGTTTGCGTATGTTTGTGTATGCATGCAAGCTTGTATGCATGCATGAATCCTTCGGGATGCGCGTTTCCAGATGGGTAAGTTAACATACGTGTACATGTGTGCAGCACTGGTTGCTTGGCAGGCCCAGGTTGATTACTAGTGTTAGAGATTCAAACTGATGTCGTGATTTTGGATGGGACGGAATGAATCAAACTTGAATCATCCTGGATGCAAGACTGGTGACATGACTGCAACTTGATTGTGAAGTGGCGACCATTCACACCAAACATGTGTGCATGAGAAATATTTCACGTTTTTGAGTCCTCAAGCTTTTCACCACAGAATATGTCACTTATATACAACACAGTACAATGCAATGACATGTATGCATTCGCTGTGATGCTAGCGAAACATCGCGCGGTCCTATGACCCCTCTGTCCACGCTTCCTAGGTGCCCGATGCCAGTTTCGCGCCTTCCTGCAGGAAGATCCAGCAACTGCTGATGCAGCACACCTGACCAAACGGTCCCGCCAACTGTAGGCCAGCTGTAGAGAGCAACCGGTTTAGTCAGTCTTCTCTCTCAAAACGGGCTCAGGAAACTTTATCTTGGGTGATCTATGCTTCCCCTCTTGCCCCCTCGCCCCAGCTCATGATTCGTGAAAAAAATCCTGCTCACACAGTCATCAACGATGCCCGCCCCAAAGGACACTCCCACACACCGGAAAGCAAGCTTTCCCTGCGATCCGCAACCGGGGTTTGCAATGGTTGCATCACCGTGATTACCTGCATCTTCCTATAGACAAGTGATGCCTTTGCTCGAGTTGCGATGTGCTGAAGGGCACAAGCATCAGATCAATCCCACTTGCTGGTGAGTGTGAGTTCTCATGTGCTAAGTGCCATAATATTGCCTTGCCCACACGCGCACACACACACACACACACCAAAACCCATCATCGAATCCAATTTGCTCGTGGGTGCCTGGTTTCGCTTAAACTGACATTCCTGGTGGCTCCCTCCTGCACAACATGTGAATATGATGATACCATCTGATTCGACAACCACTTGCAGCATCGGAAACTGTCCTGATGGGGCTCAGGCCAGCAACTCACAAAGAAACCCCATCAAACCAGGCAGCAGAACCACCCAGTTTTTCGGCGCTGCTCATGTGTTCCAAGGCTACGCCAGAGTTTGGGAGCCTTTGAGAGAAGACTGCATGGAAAGCCCACAGGTTCTCACCCCACAATCAAGCCGTTTGAAGTCTCTATAGCAAATCCAAACGTGTCCCAAAGATCGGGGCTAAGGATCCACTAACGACCAGCAATGATTTCAGGTGCTTCTTGATTTCAACACGGCCCCATGTTGCCACGTCTTGCTTCCTGAACCCTGCTATGCCGCCAGCACTTTGAGCATTGTGCGTGTGGCGCGCCGTGAAAGCGGTGCTTGATTCGCAGGCAGGACAGCTGATCGTCAACCTAACGCTACATGTCAAAGGAATATAAAGAACGGAGCCATCTAGGCAAGTGCGGAAAAGCTTTAAAACATTGAACATTACAGGACACATTTCAGACATGCCCGCCATGACAACCAAACACATGGTCACATCAATGCCAAGTAAAACTGCAAATGGCGGCAAAACTCAGCCCGCTTTCGGTTCTCGCTATTTGGCTTCCAAAGTATGCATGCATCAGTGTCGCTTTTGCCGTTCCTTGATGCCATGTGCTTGCTTACGGTTGCAATGGGCTTGCCATTATCATTGTGCTACGTCCGTTTTGCCTCATCGTAAGGCTGCTTTGTGAGATGGCTTTTGAATCTGTCTTCAAAAGCCGCTTGCTGAATACGTTGTTGACGTAAGTTGAAACAAGCCAACGATTTAGCTTGTTTCTGCTGACTTCCTGAGTGGACTGGCCAAACAAACACCGCACACTTTCTTGGTTGCAACAAGGAAGTCTTGCCGTTAAAAAGTGCAAAGTTCAGTTCAGCAAGAGAGTCTGTGTGTGCAGAGCCATCGCTTCCACTAACGGTTCAGTGTCCTGCCATGAGTGAAAAGACATCGCGCATGTCTACCAGGTGCATTTTACACCTGTTCACAAAGCAGTTCATCCCATTGAGAGGTTGACAACAAACCGTAACTCTCCTGTTAGTGACACAACATGGCACCAGGATTCCAAATAGGCCCGCACATGTTTAACTCTCCGCCCGGTTGTGCCCATAATTGTCGGAATAGTGAGTCTGTACACCGGCATAAGCGCTATGACCCCAACATCAGCGGATAGCCAGACTCAATTTGATGTGTTTGAAAAAAAACAAAAAGAGACCAGTGATTTGCCGACCTTGCACATAGTTGCTACTAAATCTCTTCCGCGCCCTGTTCTGGATAAATTGAACTGCATGCAGCTATATATTCACTTGCAGCGTGCATCTTCGCGAATGGGCCAGCTTTGCCCTGCGAAACTCTCGGCCCACGTTTCAAACAACTATGCTGTTGTCCCTAGCCCTCATGCTGGTGGTCTGCTCTTCTGCTCTCAGCAGCTCTTGGAAACCAAGGGAGGCCCCGCATTGTGCTCTACTTGAGCCTTCCTTGTTGGCACTGCTGGCGTCTGCTATAGGCCGGATATGAAGGGCATAGCTGCCGGTTTCTCGGCGTCCAGGGCAGCGCGCGCTTGCCTCCAGGGGAGCTGGCTCAAAGAGTCAGAGCGGTCGACAGTTGGGGTTGTCAAAATTAGGTCCTCCAGTAGAGAGGTTAGAATAAGGGTTCTCCTTTTTCTGTAGTCTATTTGGGTAGGGGAACCCTCCCCCAAAAGAGGGTAAAAGGGCACTACTGGGGGACCTAGAAAACTCGGGACCCTTTTTGGTACCCCCTTAAAGCGGGCACAAGGCACACCAGGGCCGAAAGGTGGCCATATTCTTGACAGCCCTCCCTGCGGCTACCAGTGAGTAAGACTAATTGTGTGATTCCCCCGGTCCCGGAAGCCCAATTTTTTGTAGTGGATCACTGACCTAACCTCACTTGCGCTGGCAGCCGGGGGTTGACTTTCCTCCTTGGGTTTTTAGCTCAGTGACGAATCAAATGCCTTATGTTGGGCACCGTAGGTCCGCACAACAGCCACTCAGAACCTGCAGAAGGGGTTCTCAAGAAGGTGCCGCGGAACTGTCTGGGGTCAAGGGGTGCTTTAATGTCTCTCTTGAGCCCTTGTCAGCTGTGGAATCCGCAACCATTTTGCTTTAAACTCCGTCGCCTCAGTCCAGCGCCAGCGCGAGCACTTTCACCTCGCAGTTAATCCATGTTGCATGGGTCCCCAGAAACTAAACTTCCAACCGAGAAGGCATAGGTGAAAATACACACAGTCCTGAGTCTACTCGTGGCATATTTATTTGGGGCACGCAAGTAGAACCTTAAGAGAAGTTTGGCAGTAGAGCAACAGCAAAAACAAAGGCCCTCGCGCAAACACTCAAACCGCCTGGGGAACATATCCAGCTCCGATTGGGGTGCTCTTCAGGGTCTAGTGTCCTTCTGCATTCCTTGTGTAGGGGGACACCCAGTTTGTTGTTGGCTGAGCATGAAGAGCAGTCAAAACGTGGTGAACAAAGGTCAACTGGAAAGCAGGCTCTGAATTTAGCTCATTCTGAGGGGACCCCCAAACTGCTCGTGCCCTTCTCCTTCAACAGCCAATCAACAAAAACTCTCAAAGCGGTGTGCTTTTCCGTCTGAGGTCATGGCACATCGAATAAATTCGTCTCGCTCCCGGATGCTGGCAAGGCGGAAGGTGACGCCTGGAGTGGCGGCATGTTGAAAATTACTGGCCTGGTACAAGTACCGTGGATGGAACAAATCCTACCAACTGCAGGACTTTGTCGACCACTGTATGGGGATTCGCGGCACCCTCAAGACTAGCCCACATGTCGATACCACTGCCAGTTTGATCATACACCCGCCGAACCCAAGTGCCCTAAAAAGCGATTCCGTGCTGCCATCGATGTGTGTTGGGACTCCATACTCATCTGCAGGAGTAGAATACTGTTTGTTGGGCGACTAGGACCATGAAACCATTCCAAATAATCCCTAATATGGATAGGTGTCAAAATAGGGGAACCTCAACAAATGAAGTTTTCCTCCTCGTCTCCCACATATCGACAAATTGCCAGGTGGACGAGACTTGACAAGACGCTTCACTGGGATCCGCACATTCATTGTTTCGCAGCACCAGCGTGGCACACTGGTCGTCCTGCGAAGCCCACGGCTCAACAAGGCACAAGGGACATTCAGCAAGCAGCCATTCATTGGGCTATGACTTTTGCCTCGGGACCATTAGTGGACATCATTTACATGGAATTGTCGAACCATTTGAGGGTTACAGGCAAAGCATGGCCATTTCAGAGCAACAGTAGGCACTATGCAAATGAGCAGCTACTGGAGAAACACGTGCCACAAGCTCTTAGGCCCCCTTTCAAAAGCGGCTCAAATGTGTGTATAGAGAGAGAGAGAGAGATTCTAGATTTTTTGATTTACCATCCCTGGCATTCATGGTATCCCTAATTTCCGAGGCCATTCTGAAATGGAGCTCCCCGCAACCCTCTTCCGTCCAGGTCCACGGGCGTGTTCCGCGTTTGAATGCTTCGGCCCGGGCCTGAGGCGAGCACTGGGGAGCCATCTTGGGCCTACGGTTCTGACTCGGTTCCTAAGAACCTTTCTTTCATTCTTGGTAGGGAAGGCCATGACAGGTCTATCCTGAACTGCGGAGTAAATATGGAACACCCCAATGAGAGCGTTTTGCGAGGAATCTCCATCTTTTTGGAGACCCAGTGCCAGCGTCGACTGGCAACTTTACCTGTTGCTGAAAATTACCCTTGCTCCATGTTGCATGGCTACCGGCACACGTGCATCATTTTGTGTATTGTACATGTGGCCGTCTGTCATCACATGCACACCCAAACAAATCTTCACACACACACATTCTATGTAAACCAAAGCTGAATGTCCCAAATGTTGAAGACAAACTCTGCAACAAGCATGGTTAAACCGCTAATTTCCAAACATGCACTTGAAGTCAAAGAGGACGGCTTGCAAATAAAACCAGTGTGTAGGAGGCCACAAGATTGCTTGTGAGCCACAGCCGCTCTAGCTGCAGGCTCTGACTTGTCTCTCTCGCGGCCAGCATCTCACGAAAGGCACCATTGATCGGCTGAAGAGGCGCACAAACAAATGGCACAAGCGAGCAATGTACACACGACAGCTACGAAGCAATAGTAGTTCTCTGCCCGCAACACCATTTGATTGACGGGTTTGGACCGCACATGCCGTATAAAACAACCCAATTTCGCAGGTTTGCTGACCGAGAGTACAGCAACAACTTGGATTTCTGACTCAGCTCAAAATTCAAAGCACACCCTGCACAAAGGTCAAACTGGCTTTCTGAAAACGAGTCACTGAATACCTGTCAGAGTGACTTCACTTTGCGTACATCTCCACACGTCAAGGATGCTTTGGGCTCTAGCACAAGTCCCGGATCGACTTC